GGCAAAGTCAACAAACGAAGACCGAAGTTCTGCGCTGGGCAAGACGGATCAATTTACAAGTGAGGGTAAGTCCATTTTTAAGGTGCGATATATTGATAATGGTTTTATATTTTCTACTCATTATTCCTTGAAGGAAGATAATGATAATGATGATAACAATACATGTTAAAAGTCAATGATATCGATAAAAGTTAATGATAAAAGCCTTGTCCAGTCCGTTCCAGTAGGTCGTTTTTGACTGAATTTTTTTCAGGTTCAACTTACATGATTCTGAATGTTTCTGCGTAATTTTTTTTCCTTTCAAAGAACTACTTTGGGAAGATTTAGTGTTCATTAAAACCATAACAACAGAAGTTGAGCTTCAAACATGCATATACCGGTTGGGTTTGGATAATCAGGTAAGGTCAGAGGTAGCCAGGTCAAGGGTCAGTCATTGAGTCAGACGACGTGCACTTGCGAAAAAATATATCACAGAATTCCAACTTGTAGACACGTTCCGATCGTCAAAATGTTCCAGAAACCTTTCAGAGTCAAGTCCAAGACTGTCATCCGTGGGTCTGATCGGTAGGATTTATAAAAGACGTTTTTATATCGTTATTCTGGACGCAAATTCTAGTAGTTGCGGTGTGGGGAGGGGGGTGCACAGTGCACGGGGAGGTCGGGTTTCTGCTATTTACATATCAGAAAAGTATTCTCAACTGCGTCTGTAGAAGTGACGTGTTATGAGCGGCGTTCTCTCACGACGTCGCGTTGAACGGGTTATTATCGGCAAAGTGTCTTCAAATGTACATTTCCTGACCGTTCAACGACTCTTTTCCGATGGGTTCTGAATTTCGGATACAATGCCGATTGTTTTCCGACGATATGTATCGGATTTACAACGGGTACTTTCTCCCACAGGATCCCGTCGCCGGTCGCCTAGGCAACAAGTAACAAACCGCTGGCAGAGGGGGTTTCCCGGCTTGGATATTGCCATGGCGACACTCAAGATTGACACATCGACTCACGTGTCATCATGTCACCATGGGAAGGTCACATGGCCGTCTTGACGAATACATTACGCAGTTCTGAATGAATGGGTTGGGGACATTCTACCCTTTGCAACTACACTTACTAGTTGTACTACTAATTTTCCCCACAGGATCATCATATATTCGGAGAGTGTTTTTTTCCCTATTTTCCTTCCAATTTTACTGAAATCCCCTTGTAAGTGGCATATATTCTTCTTGTAACGTCACAATCGTACGTTTTATATATGTAATTACACGTCTTCATTTTCAAAAGTGCAATCTGCAGGATTAAAGGTTTAGTTGAGTTTGTTAAATGATTCTTACATTTATATGTGAGAATTATTCAATTCAATGGTCGTGTGCAAAATAAAAAGTCCATACAATGAAGCTGGGCACGAACGCACGGACTACGAGCCACCGCCGTACGGCATGTGCCAATGATGACTTATGAACACAATACAACAATTTCTATGGTAGCTCCGTCTTTAGGACTCCTGAAACATGTACAAGAAACTGGAACATAAGGGAATCACACAATATCAATCATGACAATAATAGCATAGCATGGGATTCGAACTGGCGCCGTTCTGGCAGCCACGTATCGCAAAGCAAGGCAAGGAGGCAGCGACTCTACCGACTGAGCCACTCGCGCGCGCGCTACAAATGACGGTCGCCGTGTTCAACTTGAAGAACAAAGCGCAATACAGAATGACATGATAAACGTCGCATATGGCATACAAGATAAACCTCAGGAATAAATACTAACTATTATACGACATCGATGAATTT